TTCGTTTATAATAAAACCAGGAGTTTTATTGAGAAACCGGGCTCTGCAAAGGTTGGGCTTCGAAACCGAAAAGATAAATTTTTCGGGCTTCTCGGGCACTTCGGGGCGTATTCCGGGTGTTTGGTATCATACCAGGGCTTTGGGGGAAGTTGGAATGAAAGAAATATTGAAAAATGGGCTAAAAATGACAAGTTTGCAAAATATACCCGGGAGGTCTCGCACCCTTCTATTTATAGGGGTGAGGCTTCTGATCCAAGGGCTGAGAAGCCTCCACGCGTCAGCAGATCCGGAGCGAGGTCACGTGGATTGCGCATGCGAGGGGTGAGCTGTCGTCCTCTGATTGGACCGAGGTCTAGGTCCGAGGCTTGGAATCGTGGCACACCACATGAGAAGGCACACGTCGGACCCTCGGCTACACAACGCATCGATGACTAAGCTCCTTCGGACACGAGGCGACACGCAGACTGCTTCGGTTGGGCCTCCCTTCGGTCGAATCAGCATTGAGCACGTGGCAACTGTTCATGCGAGCTGACTCAACATTTTCGGACTCGTGGCACGATTTGAGCGAGGGTGACGTGGCCGAAGTCCGCGTATGCGAAATTTCTCGGTTTTGACATTTTTTCTCGATTTTCGCGCCAAAACTTCTAAAATCCATAACTTTCGCATACGAGCTTCGTTTTTGACGTTCTTTATATGCATGCGTAGGTAAAATTAAGCTATACAACTTTCGTTTAGACTTCGTCGGCTAATTTTGACTTTAATTTTTATATTATTATTTTTAACAGACAGGGACAGGAAATCCGTTAAAATTCATAACTTCTTCATCCGACGTCCGTTTTCGTCTGTCTTTTTACCGTTGTGCTACTATTGACGAGACATTTGATTCTCGTTTAGGTTGTATCGGCTAAAAATCACTCGATCTAAAATTCGAGTTTTTAGCTGTCTACTGCTAAGCTGAAACTTAGAAAAATCATAACTTCCTCATACGAAGTCAGATTTGGGCGTTCTTTTTATACCTACTCTCGGTTTAACGAACACTACGACTTTCGTTTAGATCACTAAGGCTAAAAAGTAGTTTATCAAAAACTCACTTTTTACGACATTCGGCACCGTGCCGGTTTTGTGGCGAAACTTCGACAGGTCATAACTTCTTCGTTATAACTCGGATTTTGGTATTATTTATATATCCGTAATCGTTGTCACGACCACTACAACTTTCTTAATAGATATCGGCTTTATCTAATATTTATTTTTTGAAGCTCATTTTTATTCTTAATTAATTAAACCCTAATAATTAAGCATAAAACACATAATTTTCACATAATATTCACATAATTCCTTTTCATTTCTTCAAAATGAGTTACAAAGGTTAACCTAGACTATAATGTCAATATTAATGCCTAGCCTAGAAACACGGGCATTACAAAATTCTCCAAGGCTATTGTCCATGGGAAGTTCTTGATTTCTTGGGGAAAATTATCCCATAACTTTCTTGCCTTTTTTGTTACAAGGTCAACAATTGGCTTTCCATGGTCGTTTGGCTGTGATGCATTCATGTTTATTGTAGACATAACTTTTGAACAAGATTTTGCAGATGATAAGCCATTTTGTTTACAAGTTAAGAAATTAGATTGATTTGACCAACCCTGTGTGAGTATAAGAGATTTGTTAGTCGAAATGGACGTATACAAGTGAAAAATCAATCCAGTAGTGTTTGATTTACAGATTGGGAACCAATAATCTGGATTTCTGTTTTATTTTTGGCATGGATTTAGAGAGAAGATAGTGGTGATTTGGGTTGCAATAATCAGAAAACTCAGAAACTAGCATCTGACCAATTATACCAATAATTCTGGTTCTCTACCTTAAAATTAGGTTAAAACAGGAAGGTAATTGGTAATAAACTAATCATAGTGTTATCAAATTGGAAAAAGTAAATATTCTGTACAGATATCGACTTCAAAGCATAAACATTGTAAAACTATACAACATAATAACAATTGTCATACCATGCAATAGTTGGAGAACCAATCATCAGTACTTCTATTTACTCGTTTACTGACTACAAACATGAAAATATTTCTATCCCTTTCAAATGTATGGTTCATCCTATGATTTTGATTGAATATAGTATCACATACATTCAATATGTACAAAATCAGCAGAAAACAAACGCATATTTGATCCAAATCGAATAGTTACTGTTAATAATAGGTTATGTCGTAAAAAACACAAAAAATTATATACAATAAACCTATATGATTGATCTGATTGTGATATCACACAATTATAACATCCTTTTACCTTGTAAATAACTTTGCTAAACTAAAGTGATGAGTAACAGAGAAATTGCATGCGAGAAGGAGCTTACTGGAGACGACGTAGACAAGATGAACGGTGCGTCGACACGACAAATGTGGAGGAGCGCCCAGATCACTGTTGATCTGACCATTATCCAGAGCACCACCATTTTTCCATTGGATCTGAGCTTTAATGTCAATATAAGTACAAAATAGATCTTCCTCAGATCCTAGCTCGTCCAAGCTTTCAGACGGTGAGTCGTAAGGGCCTGACGCCAGACCTAGATCGTCTGGTAGCCTGAAGTTCATCTCGCAGTGTGCTCGTTGATGATGAGACGACCTAAATTGAAAAGCCATCGCATTTTATGGCTTAGGATTCAGATTCGAAGGATCCTAGATTTCAAAGAATCGCATATAATCTTCACCTCACCCGATTCAATGAACAGGGGAGACAATTGACGGAGGAAATCATAGATTTCAGACGATTGTTCTGGATTGTGGAATGATCGACAATGAAGTTGTGAGAGAAAGAGGGATGCTGAGACAAAGACGATCGAGGGATTTGAGAGTGGCATCGATTGATTTGGGGGAAATAATCTTTTCAGTACCATAAATGCCCTTCGATTAATTTCAGAACCATACCCCCGTGTTTAATTTTCTCATTTATTTACAAAACTGCCATAAAATATCTTAGCCCTTAATTTTTTTAATCTGATGGTCCACTTTCAGTTCTCGGGTTCTCGGGAAACTATAAGTTCTCAAGTGATCCTTCCTCTATATATATAAAAGCATTCAAAACTAATCCATTAAATTATTCAAAAACCTTCTATAATATTTCAAGTGCATTAGATATAAAATTTGAGTTATACGTAAAGTGAGAAAGCTAAATGAATAATTGGTGAAGTTATAAGAAAAGGTAATGCAACAACATAATTAGGAATGGTTATGAGTGTTTTGACGGCAAAAAAAAAGGCAGGGTGAGTGTGGAAATGAAAGATAATAATGTTTTCGGTTAAAAAACAAGTGGAGATAAACAATGAATAAACATTGTTGAAGGAGAAAAGATTACGACGAGACGAGAGAGGCCAAGGATTTTTTTTTTTTTTTTTGTTAAATGTGTTTTGTTCCACTCAGTTCTATCATTTTGGGTAGGACTAAAATCTAACAAAATAGTCACATTTGACTTGATCATTGTTCCATCTTGTTTTTGTCCATTCTATATCAAACACTGTCTAAAAGAGTCTTGTTTTGTTCTGTCCCGTCCAATCTCACACACCAAATGCTGCCTAAAATAATTATTTTGGTCCCTATTTATATTTGATTTTTGCAATTTTGATCTAAAAGCTATTGTTATTTTATTTGGAATAAGACCAAAAGCATTACAGAAACCTTAAACAAGGATCAAAATTGAAAGAAAAAATGTTTTGGGACCGAAATCTAAAAAATCGACTATAAGCTGGTATATACCATAAATGAAAATTTCTCTTAAAATCATAAAAATACTATTAAATTAGTTTTGCTAACCTTTCTTAGGATCATACTCCGCCTCTTTCAAATCCTCTTGAAGATATTTTGTTATTTAAAAACTTTTGTAGTTAAGGATCATTGAAGCAAATTCATTTGCATCATCATCTGAATTGTTCTTAACATATGCATATGCAAGCCATCAGTGCCAACCTTGTGCATATGTTGGGTGTGCGACCGTACATGCCACCACGGGTCCATAATTTTTGTTACTTACATTAGTATAACGACGGATTAGTGACATATTAGTAACGAACGAGCGACAATTTTTGTTTTGATTAATTTTATAACAATTATCGATTTATTAATGATCTTTGTTTATATAAAAAAAATTATATTAGTAGCCTATTTTATTTTTCGAAACCTTCAAAATCAACGGACAAACCCTGCAAGCCATGGATTGGTCACCTAACAAGTCAAAATATGGTCGGGATGAAAATATTTTTAAATTGATGAATAATCATTTTATTTACTGCAAATCTTTAGAATTCTACGTATAAGCGATAGAAAATAAAGAAAATGAAGAGAGAAACCAAGACGTAAGAAGAGAAGAGAAGAGAAGAGAAGAAAGCAATCAAGACGTACATTTAAGACGAGTATGCCCTTTTTATAACAAATGATAGATTTCTATTGGACCGCTTTCCAATTGATTGGTTTCCACCAACGGTCGATCAATTACCTTCAGCAAATCTATATACATGGATTTCATCTAAATATACAAATGTACAACATTTGGACACACATAACAAACATTTACCAACTCTTTAACATCATTCTTGTCAATTATCTCCATAACATATCTCAAGTAATGATGTTGAAAAGATAAACAAATATTGCTATCTTTTCTTTAATTTTTTTGTCACCAAAACAAACCCATTAGGTTATTGATCGTCTGTCACAACCTTCCTACATAAAGAACTACCATATAACTTGTTGGAGGAAGTAGTTTTGGGTAAGGAAAAATCGTTTGAATACTTGAATATTATTGAGAATATTATAATTGCACAACTTATTTTATACTCTATTTTTCACGTTCATAACAAACCAAACATATAGACACAACTTTTTTTTTTTTTTTCATAGGGACGAAATTTGTGATATATTTTACGTTTATAAGTATAACAATATCTACTCTGAAATTGATATATAAATACAGTTAATTCATTTTCTTTTTTCGAATATAGTTAATGCTTACGAATAATTAAAAAAGCCAAACAAAAAAACAGAAAAACAATGGCTACGGTTTACAGCTCCATCTTCTCATCCAACTTCATCCATCTTCAACCTTCAAGAAACCCCATCACCAAAATCACCACTAATCTCATTCCACCTCACAATAACTTCAACACCTCCACCAGAAATTTCCAGTTGCCAAGAGCCGCTTCGATTCCACACCCACCGATCAACGTCGATTACCTAGAAACAGAATTCAGCGGCCATGGCACTTCCTTCACAAGCCTCGGAGAAAGCTGCGTTGTCAGGATGGGATTGGACAACGGTAGTGTAGCCACTCTCATGCTTCCAAGTGGACTCATTACATCTTACAAGCCGCGTATGTGGCATGGAGGATTACAGGAATTGCTGCATACGTCGGTATCCGAGGGGGATGACGGCCGTGGTGCAGTGATCCGTGGCGGCGTTTCGTTAGCTTTCAGATGTGAAGGAGGCGGCGACGATGAAGAAAATGGAGTGATTTCATGGTCTCCGACTATCTGGAATCTTCGCAATGTTGGAGGAAGTCCAGATGAGTCCATTCAGGTGAATACTCAATTCGCGATATCTATTTCCCGTTCTTCTGTATGAACGAATTGAAATTGTCAAATTGCCCTAATGTTCTAGGTAGAACTGATTAGTAGCAATTCAGAAGACAAAATTGAAATCAAACACATTGTGACTTTGAAAGAAGATGCTATAAGCTCAGAGATCGTGATCACGAATTTGAGATCTTCATCACTCCGACTAACGGGATCGATCATCGGTCACTTAGCTGTGAGCACACCGGAAGCATCATACGCCGTCGGGCTCGAGAGAGCAAATTACTTCGTTAAGCCACATATTTTGTCAAAATTCAGCATTATTCCTCCTGATTTCAACAAGAATGATTCGCGTCAATTGGGTTTCAAGCGACTGCTATCGGATTGGGGACTCGGAAGCCCGAATCAGGACTTGAAAGATGAAACAGCAAAAAATGGGGAAGAAGATGAAGAGATTGAAGGTGAAGAGGATGATAACTACAAGCATTTAACTGAGAAAATAAGCTTGATCTACACCAGTGCTCCCAGGAATTTCACCATCATGGACAGGGTACTTCTATAAAAAAATCACATCTAAATTTGACTAATCATCCTTTGTGAGCTGTAGTACTCTTTGCACAAATGGTTGTACTAATGCTCACAACCTCTTTGGAAAGTACAACTCACAAAATGCATCTATTTACGACATATATTACATACATGACATGACAAATTGTGAATTAGACTGACAGGCATACATGCATGCTCTGTATTACAGGGTAAACGGAACTCAGTTGCAGTGGGTAGAGAAGGCTTTAACGAGTTGTACATTTTTAGCCCTGGTTCGAACCATAAGTCATATGGCAAGTACTCATATATATGCATCGGTCAAGCCGCATTGCTCAAACCAATAACAATAGGTCCCCATTCCGAATGGAGAGGCGTGCAACACTTGCATAACCCTAATCTTTAAGCATATATGTTTTAATGTTACATAAAGACTCATTATTTTAGAATTCTACGAATATAAGAAATTATAACCAGTTTTATTTTGATTTTCTCTAATAAAAGCCATTAAAAAAGACACGCAAGACTCCAAATATACACACATGGGTGGGAGATACTCCCTCTGCTGTATTCTAATGAGATGCCCGGGATTTATTGTTGTTGTTGTCGTCATTGTTGTGTTAGTGTCTTAATAAATTAAGCCTTTTTTTTGGCTTAATCAGATTAAATAAAAAAGAAAAAGTCGTGTATAGTTGTCTAGGTCTTAACCTATTAATTACATTAGACCCCCATTGACATTTACCATATTACTGATAGATACTTTCAACCTCTAGTTTTACCTCCTAAAAAGTTTCTATTTATGTTTGAATGAGTAAAACTGTTGTCGTGAAAAGTTGTTATTTATAGAAACCAACGCTAAAAAAAATGTTTTTTTTTTCCATTCTTTCGCTCTCTTGTGCTCTCCCATTCTCGTTCGACTAGCAACTAAACGATTAATTTCACCAAACTAAAAGATAATTGAGAAAACCAGAATAATAAGGGATTTTAATGGCGTAAATTAAATGAAATCAAATCTAGTTAGATGGTGAGGGAATGGCAAGTTCCCAACCATCTAAAAAAGGAATAAAGAACACCGGCGGAGGTGGTGGTGGGTCCTCCGGATCCGGCCAAAATTTAAAATTTGCCCGGCGAACTTCAAGTGGGCGATATGTCACGTCATCCAAAGATGAAATTGATTCATCCGGCGACTCATCGAATTACACAGTTCATATTCCGGCATCCTCCGACGACGATGAGACATCAGTGGCTACAAAAGCTGAACAACAATATGTTTCTAATTCGTTATTCACCGGAGGTTTCAACAGCGTTACACGTGCCCATCTCTTGGATAAAGTAATTGAATCAGAGGCGACTCATCCACAAATGGCGAGTTCCAAAGGTTCGTCGTGTTCCATGCCAGCTTGTGATGGCAAGGTCATGAAAGATGATAGAGGCGTAGATATTATTCCATGTGAATGCAGGTTTGTTTTTTTTTTTTTTTGTGGGTTTCTCAAAAGTAAAAAATGTCAAATCAAATCTTTCGTTTTAATTTATGGTTTTATTTTTCACAGATTTAGGATTTGTAAAGATTGTTTTTTAGATGCACAGAAAGATAATGGGTTATGTCCGGGATGCAAAGAGCCGTACAGGGCGGAGGATGATGATGAGCCACCATACGGTGGAGCATTGACACTTCCGGGGAGTATGTCGGTGATAAAGAGAAACAACAATGTTGATCATAACAAAGGGTTGTTTAATGAGACTTCTGGTACATATGGTGTTGGAAATGCATATTGGCCACCGGAGGAAGGTGGTGGGATGGGCGGTGGTATCGGAGATCCGGCAGACAAACCGTGGCGGCCGCTCACCCGGAGAATTCCTATTCCAACTAGTATCATTAGTCCTTATAGAGCATTGATTGTAGTTCGTTTTGTAGTTTTATGTTTATTTTTAACATGGAGAGTTCGTCACCCGAATCCCGATGCAATGTGGTTATGGTTAATGTCGATTATATGTGAGCTTTGGTTCGGGTTCTCGTGGATTTTGGATCAAATCCCAAAGCTTTGCCCGGTCAACCGTTCGGTTGACATTCCCCTTCTTCGCGATAAATTCGAGTTACCGGACAAAGTCAAGAACCCTAACGGTCGGTCCGACCTCCCCGGTATTGATTTCTTTGTTTCCACCGCGGATCCTGAGAAAGAGCCGCCACTCACGAGCGCCAACACCATCTTATCGATCTTGGCCATTGAATATCCGGTGGAGAAGGTTGCTTGTTACATATCCGATGATGGTGGTTCACTTCTAACCTTCGAGGCCATGGCGGAAGCTTGCAGTTTCGCAGATTTGTGGGTCCCGTTTTGTCGAAAACATGACATTGAGCCGCGAAATCCGGACACGTATTTCTCGTTAAAAGGTGATCCAACAAAAAATAAGAAGCGAAACGATTTCGTTAAGGATCGGAGGAGGGTGAAGCGAGAGTATGACGAGTTTAAAGTGAGAATTAATAACTTGCCAGATTCGATACGGAGACGATCTGATGCGTTTAACGCGAGGGAGGAGATGAAGATCTTAAAGAGTGTTCGGGATAGTGGTGTAAACCCAACGGAGCCAATAAAGATCAAACGAGCCACATGGATGGCTGATGGCACTCATTGGCCCGGTACTTGGGCCAACCCTAGTAAGGATCATGCGAAAGGTGATCACCCCGGTATCCTGCAAGTAATGTTGAAGCCTCCGTCCCCTGACCCGATACTCGGGTCAGGGGACGAGAGCCTTGTCGACTACTCAAATGTCGATATAAGATTACCAATGTTTGTATACATGTCGAGAGAGAAACGGTCTGGCTATGACCATAACAAGAAAGCCGGAGCAATGAACGCGCTTGTACGTTCATCCGCAGTCCTTTCGAACGGGCCATTTATTTTGAACTTAGATTGTGATCATTATGTGAACAACTGCATGGCGGTTCGTGAAGGGATTTGCTTTATGATGGACCGTGGTGGCGAAGACATTTGCTACATTCAGTTCCCGCAACGGTTCGAAGGAATTGACCCTTCAGACCGTTATGCGAATCATAACACCGTGTTTTTTGATGGAAACATGCGAGCACTTGACGGGGTGCAAGGTCCATTTTATGTGGGTACGGGATGCATGTTTAGACGATTTGCTTTGTACGGGTTTGACCCGCCAAAGGTCAACATTCTACCTACAAAGAAGGGGACAGGTGGCAATGAATCGCCATCAGAGAGACAAGCATTGAAGGCATCCGATTTTGACCCGGATCTTGATGTTAATGAATTACCACGACGATTCGGGAACTCGACACTTTTAGCAGCGTCGATTCCCATAGCTGAGTTTCAAGGGCGGCCGATCGCTGACCATCCAGCAGTCGAGTACGGCCGCCCTCCCGGCGTCCTTCGGGACGACCGTGAACCACTTGACGCCACTATTGTTGCTGAATCTGTATCCGTTATCTCTTGTTGGTGAGTATTGTATGGTTAAAATGGCGAAGTGGTAAAAAAACAGTTTTGACATTTGACATTAAAGCCAAAAAGAAACCATCATATTTATTTATCTTATATTTAAAAATATTAACCTTTTTTTGTTGGAACACAGGTACGAGGATAAAACGGAGTGGGGTGATCGAGTGGGCTGGATTTATGGATCGGTGACTGAGGATGTGGTGACGGGGTATCGAATGCACAACCGTGGGTGGAGGTCGATCTATTGGCTCACGAAACGAGATGCTTTCCGGGGATCTGCTCCGATCAACCTCACCGACAGACTCCACCAAGTGCTCCGATGGGCGACGGGGTCCGTCGAGATTTTCTTCTCAAGAAACAACGCTTTTCTGGCATCCAAACGTCTCAAATTTCTACAACGTTTAGCGTATCTTAATGTTGGGATTTACCCCTTTACATCCATTTTCCTCCTCGTTTACTGCTTTCTTCCGGCGCTCTCGCTATTATCCGGTAACTTCATCGTGAAAAATCTCAACGCCACTTTCTTAATCTACCTGTTACTAATCACCCTATGTTTGATCGGACTCGCGGTGTTGGAAGTGAGGTGGTCCGGTGTGTCTCTAGAAGATTGGTGGCGGAATGAGCAGTTTTGGTTGATTTCCGGTACGAGCTCGCACTTGGCGGCGGTGGTTCAAGGGTTGTTGAAGGTGATTGCAGGGATTGAAATCTCGTTCACTTTGACTGCAAAAGCAGTAGAAGATGCCGATGACATATACGCAGAGTTGTATCTAGTGAAATGGACGTCATTGATGATTCCTCCAATTGTTATCGCCATGATTAACGTTCTCGCCATTGTTGTTGCCTTCTCGAGGACGATCTACAGTTTAAACCCGCAATGGGGGAAGTTCATCGGAGGTGCGTTTTTTAGTTTCTGGGTTTTGGCTCATTTGTACCCGTTTTTCAAAGGGTTGATGGGGAGGAGAGGAAAGACGCCGACGATTGTGTTTGTGTGGTCTGGGCTCATCGCTATCACACTGTCGTTGTTGTGGGTTGCTATCAATCCTAGCGCCGGCCCGGCGGATGCAAGTGCCGGAGGATCTGGTTTTAAATTCCCTTGAAAGATTTTCGACCAGAGTTTTTTAAAGTATTTTGTTTAGGTTTAGAATTTCTTTTTGGTTTTATAGTTTTGTATATTTATGTTGTTGTTCGGTTAACATATCATGAACAGAGATTTGTTTATAGTTTGTAATATTTATCGGTTTCAAATTATTATATCTCATTTGTAGTTATAGATACTTGTTGGTATCTTGATGTTGTGAATAAAGCCAGCTTCGGGGGCTTCCTATACGGAGAGTGTGTCTAAAGGATGACATGAAGCAAAGTGGAAGGGCTAGTTTGTAAATGAAAAAAAGTCTGAGTTGACTCCGACTATAATATATAGAAAAAGCCGAACTTGTCCCAAAGCCCATGACATGAGTGGTCAATTGCAGAAACTACAGGTATATATAGGCGTACAATGTGATTGGTTGTCAATTTACTATGCCATTTTTGTTTTTGTCGATTTTTTTTTTGTACGTAATACATAATGAGAATTACATTTATACTGATGCACCATTGGGATGGATAAATATGATGATATGTTTGTTGATGGTAATGGCTTTGTTAATCTGTTAAGGAGAAGTGACAATAAGCACATAAATATGTTTAGGCTCAGTTTGGCATATTAGATGAAATGTTAATTTTTAAGTTATAAATTAGCTTACCAATAAATTATCTCAAGTTAGCTTGTCAAAAAACTAGCTTATAAACTATAGTAGATTACTTTTAGGTTTTAACAAATGCAAAGTAGTCATAATCTAAACCCATCCATGGACAAATGCGACCACCCGTTCTAATATGCACCTTTAAAATCAAGCTTTAGATTATTTTACTTTGTTCACTTTTATTTGCTTCATAAGACCATGCATACAATGATACCGATAATATGTAACTTATACTTCAACCGTTTACAGTTACATCCACATTATTTTTATACTAACATGCTTTTAAAAAGTGTTTCCACTAATACATCATAACCAAATTATATTCTTTTACGAAATATCTGAATTATTTATAATCAATAATTATAATATGTTAACATGAATTTAATTATTTATATATAAATAAATGGAAACTAAGGGATCAAGTTCAAGGAAATGAATCTATATAGAGCAACAAATAAAACATCATTAAAAAACAAATTGACATGTTTTTAAACGAAAAATAATACTTATATTTGTGTATTTTATAAATTAGAGTAAATTACACGAATGGTCCCTATAGTTTGGGGTAATTTGTGCGCTTCGTCCCTAACTTATTTTTTTAAATCGGAAGGTTCTTAACGTTTGTTTTTATTACGTGTTTGGTCCATACTGTTTGTTTTTGTTTCACGTTTGGTCCATGTCTTACCTAAAAAGACTATTATTTAAATAGATAAAAATGGTGGGGTAGATAAAGTAAAGTGAGGGGGTGGGGTTTGGGGTGTGTTTATTTAAATAAATTAAAAAATCAAGGGCAAAATAGTCTTTTTAGGTAAGACAGTGACCAAACACGTAACAAAAACAAACAGTAAGAACCTTACGAGTTAAAAAATGAATTAGGTACCAAACGCACAAATTACCTTAAACCATAGGGACCATTCGTGTAATTTACTCTATAAATTACTTGTAGTAGGGTACGTGTGTGTAGTAGGGTACGTGTGTTTATATATTTATCTTTCAAACGATTTGTATGTCTATATATTAAAGTACGTTAAACTTATGTTATTATGTTTATGTGATTTTGTTTTATAAATATAGAAATTAGATAAATAATATTTATAAAATATAAATGAAATTATTTTTAATATTATAATAAATTAATTAAATAAGTAAATTGATCAACTAAATTTAATACTAAAATAATAAAAGGTTAATTATTATGTGGATCATGGCTTTTTGGTTTGTAAGAGTTTCTAAACTTAAAAGACATTAATACAATATATAAGAGAAGGGAAATGGACTTATTAAGGTAATTTACTTTTCGATTTGTTCACATCTGAATAACTATCTTTTTTTGTACATGTTTAGGTATGAACTTTTTGGAAGTGTTCACGTATGACCATTATTACCGGTTGTAGCAGGTTATATCCGGTCATAATGGTAATATATGAACACTTCCAAAAAGTTTGTTACCTAAATGTGTAAAAAAAGATAGTTACCCAGATGTTAACATACCGAAAAGGTAAGAGTAAATTACATGAATGGTCCCTGTGGTTTGGGTAATTTGTGTGTTTGGTCCCTGACTTATTTTTTAACTCGGATGATCCCTACTGTTTATTTTTGTTGTGCGTTTGGTCCTGTCTTACCTCAAAAGACTATTGTGCCTTTTTTAATTTATTTTTTAGTATATTTTCTTATTTATGTATTTATTTTTTATATATTTAAAAAAATTAATAGACCCCACATATCTGTATCTCCTCACCCTAAACCTGAAACCACATTTGAGAAATTTAAGTTGGGTCCCACCAGTCACCATCCCATCTCTCATCCTCCTCAACTTCTATCATATCTCATCTCATCACAATCTTATATTCTCTAATATATCTTATCTCTAATCAATCTCATATACTCGGTTATATCTCCTCTCTTTCCAATCTCATATACTCGGTATATCCCATCTCTACTCAGTTTCATATACTCTGTGTATCTCTACTTAACCTCATGTACTCTATATATACTTCATCTAGTATATCACATCTCAGCTCAGTCTCGTATACTCTATATATCTCATCTCATATTCAATCTCATATCCTCTATTCTAATAAAACAGTACCTTTTTTGCCACGTGGCAATAGCTAAGCATCCTCCCGTCTAATTTTCCCGCTCAAATCATCAATGTGAAATTCCTGTTCTGCCTTCATGTTGTCGATCCCGTTCAAATGTTTTAGAACTCAGTGTATTCATCAATCCCGTAAAATCAGCAAATTATATAATCTTCAAACGCTCATCAACAAGCATAATCCCGTTAAATCAGGAAGTGATCACTCCATATCTTTTGATGTAAACCCTAATCGTCACAAACTTCTCTGGATTTAGGCTTTACAATAATCGACCGCTCCACCATCTCCACAAAACTGTTCGATTGAAAAGCAGATAGAGAGAACGATTGAAATCTTCGGACTCATCACCATTTTCAGGTCCGATAGCTTCTCTTCCATGTTTCAATTCAAGCTTAAGAAACCGAAGCTCGCCAATCACTTCAAAGCTTGCTCCGCCAACAGATTTGATTTCTGGTTTTTTATTTGTCTTTTTGATTACGAATTCTCTGTGGAGTAACTACTCTTCTTCTGTATGTCTGTTAGTGTTTGATCGTAGTGATCCCAAACTTCGTCATATTTATAGCCATATATCATCCTAAGCCCTAAAATTTGTTCAGAATTCTGCTCTGCGAATTAGTTGATAATAATATAATTATAGGGTTTCGAATTTGTTGATCCACTAATGATTATCTACGTATGGTAGCACTCCTTCCGTTTAATCTTCAAAAATTCTTCTATGTGCTTCTCAATCACTTTAATTAGGGTTTTTGTGTTAGGATTTCACATGTCGGCTCAATACCTCTCTGTAAGTTGTAACATTTATTAATATTTAGGCTTTTTAAATTTTCTTCAGTCTGGATACATTATTGGTGCTAATAACTGATAATTTCGATGGAAGAGTATATGTATATGCTGATGTTTTCTGTTATGTGCAGTGTGGAGACATGTTCTGGGAGCCACTGATGTTATTGACAAAATTGATATTGCCCTTAGGAAATGTGAGTACTCTTTTTTTTACTAAAAGTCAGCCCACAGTTTTGTAGACTTGTTTACCAGGATTTTGGGAGTGTTGAACAGGATATATAATTATTTGGTTATTGCTCTTATCCTTTACCATGTGATTAACTTGTACAATAGATTAAAGGGTAAAAAAGGAAACGAGATGAAACAATATAGTCATGGCTTAGCAAAATAGTTTTTCTACAGGCAACAAACCTTTCTTTTCTTATGAATTATTATTATTAGCTCACTATAATTTTTGTTTATTATCCTAAGAGAAGTTTGTTAATAATCTGTAAAAGTAAATACTTGACGATCATATATCAATCTTTATTATGCTTGAAATAATTATGAAAAATACTAATAACTGATTGGGCTATAGCTAAAAAGGATATCAGTAATGTATTGTGACAAAACAAGAGACAAAGCTGATACTGTGTTACCTTATTTGCTTAAATCTATAAGAAAACCTACATAGTTTTCCACATTGTTATATAAAAGAGGGTGATTTCTTAATTTTCAAAAAGTTGGTTTCTTGATTGCATATGTTGTGAGATATGTATATGGTATGGTTATTTGCTACAATGATAAATAAACTAAAAAATAGCAAGTTAGGAATGTTATCAAGCACTACCCTTAGTTTTATCATTTATGATGTACTTAAATGTTTGTTATTGCTAAAGTATCATCTCTGATTCTTCAGATGTCATTACACTGTCATCATCATCAGTGGGGAGTATTTTAAGAGCATAGAACCTTCCTGTTGGGCAAATGGTGTGAGAGTCTTTTCTATCAGGCTCAAAGTCCTCCAAGGCATTATTAACAATTCCAGTGAGTAACATTGTTAAGCATTCTTATATTTTGTTGCACCTATACAACTCAATTCTACTAAGATCATGTTTCTTCTGAAGTGTTCTATTTTATTATCTGAAATATACATTTTTTTACCTTTTTAAGCTATACAGTATAAGTATATGCCTTGGATAGTGACATGGTAATCATCTGCAGGCCAATTTGAAGCTTGATCTGGACAATCTAATTTTTGTTTATGGTGACACATGTCTTTATGCCATTTCCAGCATTGATGGATGGAGAGATTCTTTGGAAGGACTACATAAATGAAGGGTTTGACCAATTCACCAATTCACCAATTATATTATCTTTTCTTGTTTCTTGATTGTAGTAGCACTTTTTTGATATATTATTTTCATTTCATTAACAGCATGGAGGTTCATTAGTTGATTCTTTCTGAGGGCAGTAACGTAATTCACGTTGTAGGAG